TGCCAATGGCAGGGGGGTTGGAACTAGATGATCTTTGAGGTCCCTTCCAACCCAAATCATTCTACGATTCTGTGATTATCAGATTTCAAGAAATTCTGGGACAGTCTGTTGTCTCCATCCCTTATGGTATTCTTAGGTCTGCAAAGAAGATGGCAGATCAGAGATGTCAGAACAGATCCTGTCTCAGGAAATATTGTTGAGATGTGATTCTGGCATAATCTCCATCCCTTGGGTTACTTGTGTCATCAGCAACATTTTGGCTGGGGGCTGTGGCTGAACTGACCCCAAATGTCCTACCCTGAGCAGAGGTGCCCACTGCCCCCAGAAGCCTGGCAGCCAGCAGCTGGGGCAGAGACACCGGAGGTGCCCATTTCATCTCTGCTTATCTCATGCCTGGGTGATGCCTCTACCCCTTCTCCATTGCAGAGACTGTGAACTCTCTCCCCACACCCTCTGACATTACCACATGCTTAATTTTGTCAGATATAACCTTACAGCTCATGCTGTGCTGCAGTGCAGCTGATCCACAGCCTCTCCTACCACTGACGCAAGACAGTGTGGAGCTTCTTATGCCAGTTTTCAGCAGGACTTTTAATTGGAAAGTAATGAAAGCAATGAAAACTCCCTCATCCCTGCCTGCTGTGCCATGGCACTTGGCTCTGGGGTCTCCATCCCTGGGTGGACACTGGAGGGGCAGCTTGTGCAGAGCTTCCTGTCCTACACCTGCCGTGCTGCCCAGCCCTCATGCCATGCCAGGCAGGGGAATGGCAGGAGCCACGTTCTCCTTGGTCTACCCATAAAATCATGGCTGGGCAAGGCCCTGACAAAATGCTGCCTGAAGCAGAAGGATCAGGAGAGAGCAGCAGAGGCAGGCCAGCTCCCTTCAGGGGACAAAGCCTTGGCAGGGAGAACATGGGAACAGCAACCATGTATTGGTACCACCAAAGAGCTGTGAGAGGTGTAAAGGTCTTATTAAAGACCTTTGCCTCAATATTTGACTAGGTTTTGTTTCTCCCTTTGTTTTATGACTGGGTAGTGACTCAGGTTCATACCATATCAGCATCATGTTAAAGGCAGAAACCAGGCGGATGATGCTGGGTCAGGGCATGAGGGAGAGGCAGGAAGGGGCTGGGGGAGGCACAGGTCATATGCACAAACATACAGAAGGTTTCTTCAGAGAAAAAGGGGCACAGAGGCAAGGAGAACTTGAATCTGCAACAGAGCCTATGCATTGGGTGAGACTGAGGAGAAAAGAGGCTGGATAGGGAGAGATGGGGAGGGAGAGGAAATGCTGGGTAAGGCCAGAGATGTCAGAAGGAGAAATGACACACCAGGTTCAAACGGTGCCTCATCGTTGCATGGGATGACTCCTGGGGCAGGGACACCCTGGACAGTCCTGCATGAGTAGGAGTATCCCCTCACCGCAGAGTGGTGTGGGGCAGAGATGCTGCCTGGCCCCTGAAATGCTTGGGTCAGCATGATCCTTGCTGATCTAATGGACCTCCCAAGCTGTGTCACAAAGGAAGGAAAGAGGTTTTTGGGCAGGAAGTTCACAGAAAGTTCCCCCATAACATGTCTTTGACTTGTAAATGAATTGGAAAGACCTTCTCAGCAAGCAGGAGATGCTGGTGGACAGGTGGTACAACAGGTCTGGGTAAAGATTGAGAGGTAGTTCAGAGCCCAAAGAAGTGCTTTAAGGGATGAGCAAAAATGAAGTATCTAAATGGGGAGAAAAACCACCCAGCACCTGAGGGAGGAAATGGGAGGAAGCTGCTCTTATCCAGTGACGTGCACTGCAGGACACACAATCCACTGTGTAACATACTAAATCCCAGGGATAAAGTAGGATAGAAACCCACTAATTTGTACTCATATGGGGAGAGTTACAAAGTTGTGAGCTGTAAACAAGCCACTAAAAACTGAAGAAAATTAATTACAAAATGTATTTTATCATGGCATTTGGCAAGCTCTTGTTTGCTTGTAATTTTGTTGGGTCATAGAATCATAGAATCATAGAATGGTTTGGGTTGGAAAGGACCTCAAAGATCATCTAGTTCCAACCCCCCTGCCATGGGCAGACACCCTCCAC